CCATTCTATGATTCTGTGCTGTTGTGGTGCAGGGGATGGGGTTGACTTTTAGAGAGCTGCTGCGTGCTAAAAAAGCCACCTGGGACATAGGGGAGAGGGTTTAGCATAGAAAGGCTGGTGCTGCCTTTCTTCTTTCTTTCTTGCAGGCCCCATGGTAATAGTTACGCCTTGCCTGCATGCTTCATTAAGGCTTAATTCAGTAAAAGTCAAAAAAGGGAGTCAAATCGTTCAGTGTGATACCCCTGCAAGTGCCACGGGTGAGCTCCCTGCCTTCAAAACCTGGGTCAGCAGGAGGGAGGAGACCCAGGAAAGGTGACTGGAACTGCTGGAAAAGCTTTGGAGGGCAGTAGGAGCCCAGGGCTGCAGCTGGGTGCACTGATCTGCTAGGGCTCTGTTGCTTTGTGGCCTGGGCTGTCGTCCCTGGGGTGCGTGGTGAAGGTGCTCTGGTAAATGCATGCCTTGGAAAGGGGCGATGGCTGTAAAAAGGGCAGAAACACACATGGGAGGGGATTTTATTCCATATCCATGAGCACGCCTGAGCCTCGCTGCCACCAGCAACAATGGGCAATTCAGGGGAACTGAAAGAACCGTATAACAAGGGCGCCCTCCATCCCTGTGCGTGGCTTGGTCTTCTTCTGGCTCTGGTTTGTCCTGCCGTGCTTCAGGACACAGCCACCACTGCTGCCAGCGTGGAAGGTGTTGGGAAGGAGCTTGTCCCATGTGCAACGCTGGCTACCGTGAGCTCTGGGGTGCATTTCCCCCAGCTTCTTGGTGTGGAGCGGAGGTGCCTGGGCTGGCTGGATGCTTCTGGTTTGGCATCACTGTTTCCTGGTGTGATGGGGGATGAGCTGGGTGGGCACTGGGTCCCCCTGGCCCGTGGGACCTGCTGCCTGCACCACACTGGCTAAGCTCGACTGTGCCCCATCCCCACAGCCCCAGGACCACCTGGCTGTCCCCAGAGCAGTGCTGCTGGGTGAAAGGGCTGCTCTCAAAGGCAGCCCAGCACCTTTTGATAGTCTTCTGGAGGGCCAGGGCTGCCCTGACCCTCCCTTGTGCTCCCTGCCTGCACTCAGTGTGTGCTGCCTGTACCTGTTGGGTCTCTGGGAGCACAAGGGAGCCAGCTCATCATCAGCCTCTCCATGTCTCCAACAGAAGCATGCCCGAGGCCAGGTCCTCTTCGACTTGGTGTGTGAGCACCTCAACCTCCTGGAGAAGGACTACTTCGGCCTCACCTTCTGCGACTCAGACAGCCAGAAGGTGAGCATGGGCAGGTCCCTCTGCGGCAATCCCCTTTGTGGTGGGGGGTCCTGCTGACATGCTGTCTCCTTGTTGCAGAACTGGCTGGACCCCTCCAAGGAGATCAAGAAGCAGATCCGCAGTAAGTGCTCCAGGAGAGTCCATCCTCCCTAGCCCTGGGGTGTCCTGTGGGGCTCCCAGGTGGCTTCTCTGTGGGTGTCCTCTGGCAGGTCCCCTCCCCACCTGCCCTGGAGGGGACCTGTGGCAGCTGACATGGGGACAGGAATGCTGTTGCTCATTCGGCTGCCTGTTACCCACCTCTCTTACTCGTGACAGGCGTGGGGGAAAAAGGACCCCATCTGTCACTGGAGAGCTGGTTGAGAACCTGGTTGCTCTCCGGGCACCATCTCCACCTGCCCTGAGCAGGGAGGACAGGGATGGGGGAAGACTGGGGGGGCTTGGTGGAACAGGTCCTGGAGTGCCTTTGCCCATGATGTTACCTTGCTGGGAAGGCAGAAGGGCTGTTCCCCAAGGTGTCATCTTCTGGGACATGTGAGGCTTTTGCTGTGACATTGGTAGACACGCTGAGTTGATGGCTCCCAAAGTTGTGATGCGTTTCTTTCCCCTGCTGTTTGGGGGGTATTAACCAAGTCATGCTGGAGTCCCAGTGGCTGTTCTCCTGGCGGCTTCTGGAGCCCCTTTGTCTCTGCCCTGTGCCAAGCTTGGGGGGAGTCATGGGACCTTTAGTGGGTGCCTCAATGCTCCTGAACGCCCGTGTGCAGCCAGCATGGGTGCTGCTCTTACTGCTCTCTCCCCTTCCTAGGTGGACCCTGGAACTTTGCCTTCACTGTGAAGTTTTACCCTCCAGACCCTGCGCAGCTCACAGAGGACATCACAAGGTGAGAACCACTCCTCCACGGGCACAGCAGCTGGGGCAGCTCCCCGCGGACTGTCTGGGAGTGTGTGGAGGGGCAGGGCTCAGGTAGGACAAGGGCAGCCTGGGTATGTGTGAGGGCTCACTGCCCTCCCCTCTGCATGTGGCATGTCTAAATCATGCAGAGCAGGGCCAGGAAGGTGGCCATGGGAGCTGGCAGTCCCCATGGAGAGCAGTGCAAGGTGGGTGAATGCTGCCACTTCCCAGGAAGCCCCAGCCTGCTCCAGAGGGCACACATCTCCACCCCACTCTCACCCTCTGTCCCCTCCTGCAGATACTACCTGTGCCTGCAGCTCCGTGCGGACATCATCACGGGGCGCCTGCCCTGCTCCTTTGTCACACATGCTCTGCTGGGCTCCTACGCTGTGCAGGCTGAGCTGGGCGACTATGACGCTGAGGAGCACATGGGCAACTATGTCAGCGAGCTCCGCTTCGCCCCCAACCAGACGCGGGAGCTGGAGGAGCGCATCATGGAGCTGCACAAGACGTACCGGTGAGCTCCACTAGAGAACAGGCTGGTGGTGAGGAGGGCACCAGACAGCTGGCCCACACCCATTGGGGCACCTGGCCACATGTCCTCCTCTCTGTCTCCACAGGGGAATGACCCCTGGGGAAGCAGAGATCCACTTCCTGGAGAACGCCAAGAAGCTCTCTATGTACGGGGTGGACCTGCACCACGCCAAGGTACGGGGCTACCAGAGCCATGGTCAGTGCCACCTCATCCTGCCCTGCTACCTGCACACCCCGCCCTGCCTCGTCACTGCCTCCCACAATGGAGGTTCAGCAAGGACATGGTCCTGGCAGCCTGCTCTGGGTGACCCCGTGCTAGACCAGAGGACCTCCAGAGACCCAACTTCAACCCGTCTGTGACTCAGTGACCTCTCTGTCAGCCAAATCCCCATAGCAGAGCACCGTGCAGGAGGGAGCGTGGCACTGCTGGCCAGACTGGTCCTCCTTACTGGGCAGCTGAGCAGTCCCCTACTGTCCCTCTTGCCTCCTCCAGGACTCAGAGGGCATCGACATCATGCTGGGCGTCTGTGCCAACGGCCTCCTCATCTACAGGGACCGGCTGCGGATCAACCGCTTCGCCTGGCCCAAGATCCTCAAAATTTCGTATAAGAGGAGCAACTTCTACATCAAGATCCGCCCGGGTGAGGTGAGTACTGTGCACCAGAGCAGTCCCAAGGCACGGCTGGGTGTCTGCTGTGCTGGACTGGGGCTGCCTGGCAGGGAGGTCCTCGCCTGGCTTCAGCCTCTGGCCCAGGGGTCCCCAGTTAATGACCACGCTGGCCAAGAGTGCACATGTCCTGTGGTAGATGGAGGCTTTCAGCAAGTTTTCTCATTGGTGCACTCATTTTCTCACTGGCAAAGTGACTTCAGCAGGCTGAGGGCACCCTGGGCTCCTTTCCCCATCAGCCAGGTGCTGTGACCCCACTGCTGTAGGGAGGTTGCTCAGGAAGGGAAGTTGAGGGCCATTTTTGGTGTGTCTTCCATGCTTCACAGAAAAACATCAGGAGGCTTTTTCATTTGTTTTCTGACTTCATATTTGCATTCTTTTCACTTTGATGTGTGCTGATGGGAGTATGCATCTCCACCCACATTTTCCAGCAGGCAGGAGGGCAAGGACAGTGCATCTAAAATGGAGAGTGATGCCCTTTCACCAAAACGAGCTATAAAAAGTTTTTGTTTCTCGAGGGAATTTGTCTTGTACTGAAAAGCCATTTACAGTTGATGAAAGTGCTTAGGCCAAAAGCATGGGGGTGTGATCCCACCACCTGCTGGGGCCGGGCATGGACTTTTCCAGCACTGCTTTGAAAAAGATTTTTTTTTTGCATGGTCATGGCTCCTGCCAGGGGAACTCGAGGACCTTGGGAGGGCAGATCCCATCCCATCATGTCCTCTAGGGCAGGATCTGCCTGTAACGGCGTGTCTCTGTCTCCCCCAAGTACGAACAATTTGAGAGCACCATTGGCTTCAAGCTGCCCAACCACCGCTCTGCCAAGCGACTCTGGAAGGTCTGCATAGAGCATCACACTTTCTTCAGGTGAGGAGACCTCCAGACCTTCTCAGGCTTCCCTTCTCACAAGGCAGACATGCTCCTGCCCCTGCTGCAGTGGGTACACATGGGGGGTGGCACTGGAGGGCACAGTTGGGGCTCACTGATGGCACTCCACCTCTCTCACCCCTAGGCTGGTGTCCCCAGAGCCACCCCCCAAGGGATTCCTGGTGATGGGCTCCAAGTTTCGCTACAGCGGGCGGACACAGGCGCAGACACGGCAGGCCAGCGCCCTCATTGACCGCCCGGCTCCCTTCTTTGAGCGCTCTTCCAGCAAACGGTACACCATGTCTCGCAGCCTTGATGGAGGTATGCCCCAAATTGGGGAGGGGGAGGGAGATTGGTCCGGTGGCGGGAGCTGAGGGAATGCTGTTTGGCTCGTCGCTGTGAGCTGTTCAGCTCGTTTGGCAGGGTTACAGCACCATCAGGTTTCCTTCTGGAGGCTGTCCCCAGCTGCATCCAGGGTCTGGATGCAGAC